CTATACCTTATTAGCTCAGACAGCAAGTCTCCTAGTTTAATCATTATTTAATGTCAAAATGCATTTTGCTCCATCCATGCTACGTGGTGGGGACAGGCGAATGATGGGCTCCAGATGCCACTCTGTGTGTGTGGTGGTGCTCAGTGAGGTAGAGGTTGGTGGGGGGATGCTGACCTTCTGAAGGTCACTGGTGTTGGCCTTGGAGGGTAAGCACTGTGTTCTGCAGTGTCCCCAGTAATGTCATGGCTCAATGAGACAGGGACAGCTACTGTTTTGTTTATTTGGCAAGAACAAAGATAGGAAACATGGGCCTGAGCAGGTGGATGGGAAGAGAGAGCAAGCATCCAGCTGGAGTGCTCAAGGCTGCTCTTCCTGCTGCATGGAGCCGCTCTCCAGCTGGGGGAGAGGGAGCACCCCTCCAGGAACTGAGATAGGTTGGTGCTGGTCTGAGCTTGGAGTCTCTGCTGATCCCAGCTAGGTACAAGAAGCAAGGTATTTTATAGGCACTGCAAACTTCCATTCAAAGCTGCATTTGGATTCAGGTCACGTAGCCAGCATCATGTCAGGAAAACCTAGGAATCCTCCTGAGAGCAGAGTTTAACTTGTAAAACAACCTTGGGCTGGAGAAGCATTAACTATGCCTACATTAAATTAAGAGGAGGCGGCATGTGGGAGAATTTCAAAGTCCATTTCAGCAAGCAAAAGTCATCAATAAAAGAATGTGGAGATTTATTTGAATCCAGTGGAGCACAGAGACTGGTTTGATCTGTTTTAATCAAATTGTGGCATGAGTGTTGCTGGATTTTGCTTCTGCCCCAGCAGAAGCCACAGGCTTAACAAAAATGGCAAGTGCCTCCTTTCTGCACTGATGTTGAGCTGGAGGAGAAGAGGGGGGCACTGTTCTCCGTTTCACACTTCAGATCCATAGAGCTTTTCCTCTCAGCCACAGGAACTAATTATCTACCAGAATAACTGGCCCAGTGCAACCATGACATGCTTTGACTGATTTTAATAACACTTCATCTTAATATGCAGAAGTAATTTGGTCTACTGAAATGCTGCCATAAATAGAAACACAATAGGTTACATTGTCAGTAGCTTGAACTGAGGCTCTGCTGTTACAGGCTGTGCTTTGCCAAGCACCCACATTTGGACATTCAATGACCTTGGATAACTAAGTAGTTAATGCAAATCTAGCACTTATAAGTCAAATGACTTAGCTGCGTCCTGGCTCACTGCAGTTTGCAGTCTTAGGTACCCAGGTGCTGTTATACATATGAAGATAAGAAGTTGAGGAGAGGGATATTTCTTAGTCCGATCCTGCCGTGCTGCATGGAGGGAGCAAACACCCTCCCTAGCCACCTCCACTCCCTAACAAAGAAGTGGTTGCTTGCCTGGTTTGATACACAACACTGCATCAGCTGCACAGCTGTGGCTGTAGGCTGGCAGGGAGATGCATTCTGTGCATCCACTGTGTTCATTATAGCCTCTAGACAGGAGCTGTCTCCATCCCACCTGGATGGAGTTCTAATGGATTTTGTATTTCCTGAAGGAGACAGAGGAATTCTTCTTCAGATTTGTTAAAAATACTTTTTGTTTGTTTAATATCTGGAATCAGGGAAGTTGTATGAGAAATGTGAGCTGACTCCCTAGCTTATACATGCCCCAAAGCCGGGCCTTTTCTTTTTATGCTGCTGCTTTTATCTTGACAGTCCCTGCTCAGCACGTTTTCAGCATCTTTGCACCATCTACAGGGCTAAATGGTCTGCCTTGACCCCAGTGGCACAGCTGACCTCAGAGGAGATGCTCAGGATGCAGAATTTGTCACCAGATATTGAGACAGAGACACATCTGCTGCTAGACATGGGACTCTCATCTCTCCCTATTGCCTTGCCTGGCCCAGTAGTAATAAGGCCATTTCTATTCTCACCCCTGTGGATGTTCTGTGCACATTACTAGGCGTGTTCACTATCATGCATTCATACCCTAGTGGTAAGTGACTTGTCCACAGCTCCACAGGAATATCAATGTCATGTATTCAGCGTTAGCTTGCACCTGTAAAACACTTGCAAAGGATGAGGAAGACTCCAGCTGTCAGGGGATATTGCCCCTTGAGGGAAGAGCTCATCCTCCCACTTAGGATGGAGGTGGAAATCTGCCCCCTCCAGAGATGTGAGCTCAGTCTGTGTACTGATTTCTGCTTTCTCTGCTCTGTATTTACCAGTGAAGCAGGAGCTGGAAGGCTGATATTGCTTTAAAGCGAGGAATGCGTAAAACAAGGTGAGAAACCCTCTGGAAACCCATTTAGGAAGAAATTTTATTCTGTGCTCCTACCTCAGAATTAATTTTCATTGTTTCCTCGGTGTGGTAGAGCAGAAGCTTCTGGCCAGAAGAGGTGAGATTGACGTACACCTGGAGGCACGGGTACTGGGAAATTTTCCAGCAGTCTGGACCACAGCTAAATGAGCAGTTGAAGGTTTCTGTGATGGATGCATTGAGAAGTGAGCACTGAGCCTCTTCTGTCCAGACACTAAGTAGGAAAAAAGACACGTTAGAGCATGGCAAGAATGGGCAATAAGCACAAAATGCAGGTCAGGCTTTCCATCAGGGATATACCAAGGGGCATCTTGTAGGAGACAGTACGTGTTGCAGAGCTTTGAGTGAAGGCTGGACTTTCTCACATCACACATCACAGACTGTATTATTCTGTACCTGAAGTTTGTGCTTTGGGAACAAAAATACATGACTCACTTGTGTCTATGTATAAATGAAAAGGGCACTGGAACTTTTAGTCTGGAGAAGGTATATTTGAAACCAAATGGAACCGGCAGAGATATCAGAGAAGAAAACTGAGCAGCCTGCCATGGCAAAGAGTAAAATGCATGCAGTGTTGCATGACATGACACCCTGGACCAAGACATACTGGTTAAACAATAAACCCCATTCAGTTTAAAGTGAAGGTTGGCATGATGACTTTGAATTACCAGGGTACACATACTGATATGCATGAAGACACAGTAACACATAAGTGGTTCTGCATGCAGCTCTCCCTGTGGAAAGACTTTTTCTAGTGGCACCTTGCTTGTTTTTCCGTAAGTTAAGTCAGCTGTTGAAATTGGTCTATCTCAAATTTACCAGAGGCTAAAACTGAATGATAGAGCCTCAGTATGCACTGGCAATGTTCACCTGGGTTTCTTGCATGCATTTAAATATCTATGGCTGAATTTTCCTTGGGGATGAGAGCCATGGGAAGGGCATACTGAGGGTTCTGTGAAAAAAACCTTTCATGGGCTGGGAGAAGGTTTCAGTCCCACTCAGCACCTCAGCTTACACCCAGCATGGCTGTCCTGCTCCTCACCATGAATGGGCTGAGGGTCTGCTTGTCCCTTGACAAACCTACAAAAGGCTTTACATGATATGCAATATCAAAGATTTATGACAAATTATCCTGATATGTTACTTTGGCAGTTATTCTCCTTGTATTTTCAGTTTTGCATTTAAATTATGCTACAATTTGTGGGGGGAAATCAAATGAAAAGGTTATTTGCTTATTTTTTCCCTGCAAGTCAGTATTTTGTTGAAGCGGTATTGCTGTCTGTAAAGGAGAATAATCCCTAAGGAGATCTGACTGTGTGAAGAGAAGGGATAGCAAAGACTCCTAGGTTGTCTTCTTCTCACTTTTACATTTCTGACTGCTGTTTCATTCATGCATGGGGGTAATAAAATAACATCTACCTGCAACAGACTTGTGAAGGTGGAATATTTGATACTTCATAGGTGCTTTTGGCAATTTTTCATAGAGTTTGCAATATAAGTCATATCTTTCCACATGAGCAGTTTTGACCTTAGCAGCCTCTGCAATTGACCCTGAAATTGCTGAAAGGTAGGGGAGAGCAAGTTGGAAAAGCAAATGCTCTTGGATACTTAACAGGACTTGATCTCTGTTTTCAACTTAACTTTACTTGGATTTAAAAAGTAATAAATACCTTTATCATACAAATAAGATACTGCAGGTCAGTACTCTTCACCCTCAGGCATGGCTACATTTTCCTTATCATTGCAAGGTCAAGAAGAAATATTTCCCTGCAGTTGCACTTATATAATTGAGGACGTTCATACCCGTTAACTGGCATGCACTTATTGTACATACCTAAAGAAAAAGCCAGTGGTTTGTAAGCCAAAACATGCCAAGTATTGGCTACTGCCTCAGGGTGGTTTGGGCATGACAGACTGATGTTTTGAACCCCAGTTACCCATCCAGTCATCAGGGTGGAAAAAACATTGCTAACAGTCTTGTTACCGTCTGGGCTGGAGTTTTAATAGGGCTGGTGCTTGTGAACTGATTTCAAATGCTAATGAATCACGGGTCAAATTTTCTGCTTCATGGCAGAGAAGGAAGGCAGAGATGGCCTCTGAAAAATTAAGTGCAGTGCAGTAATGATGAAAGATGATCTTTCACTTTCAGCAAATGCTATATTTCAGGAAGATTTCACTTGTTAAAATGAAAGTAATAGCCTACATGGAAAGCTACATGCATGCATACATACAGAGCAGCTTGATTTCTTTCCCAGATTAATTCTCCATTCTTCATTTGGAAATCTGTTTTTTCTTGAGGCCGCTAAATATTTCTGCTGTTTTCTCCTGAATCTGGGCTTTGCAGCAACAGCCCCTGAGAGGCTTACAGGGTTCAGCCGACTGCCTGATATGGATATTATACTAGTGTTGAACTGTGGCAGATATAAAGCCTATGGATCAAGGTTTTGTCAAACAGGGAACTAATTCTTCCCTCACGCTGGTATTACCCAACATGCTTTCTCTGTAAGTATACCTAATTTATACTGGGGTAAGGAAATGCAGAATCAGGCCTATGCTGACCAAAGGGAAAAAAAAAAACAACTTTAATAAAAAGAGTTGAAAGAATAAGGCACATGAAGCGGGATCAGGGTAACCATCATGAAATTACCTTTGCATGTAAGACCGCAGCAGGGTGATTCCCAGGAGAAAGTACATCATGACAGAGCACACCATCATGGCCAGCCCGAGGAGTATGGCCCGGTCTTCTCCAGCTTTTAGGGCTGTAACTGTTTTCCTTTTGTCCAGTAGATCGTGATCCCTGATTTTTTGGTAAATATTTCTGAGGTTGAAAATAATACATTCTTATGTGAAGTTCATATCTAATCAAATAAGCTTTTACAGGGTGGGTAGTTCCACCTCCATACCCATCTTGTGAGAGAGAAAGGCTTAAGGGTCCTCAGGTGTCCTTTTTCATTGGATTCATTCTGACCTGGTGGAAACTTATTCATCTCCAAAATATATTACAGCCATTTCTGAAAAGGTAAAAACCTCTTATAGCAAATATAAAGATTAGACACTTGTGCCAGCTCAGTAAATCCTTCTTTGGTACAGCTTCGTTGGCTCAGTTGAATTATGATAGCTGAATTTGACCTGTCAATGCCATCTGAGGCTGCTAGAAGATGTTTAGGTATATGAGGTGTCTTTTCTTCAGTTCAGGTCTTATGTTTCCATACGTAGAAATCAGCCTGAAGAAAAGCATCACTAAAATTATCTGAAAGGACCACATTCTATTTTCATTCCCTACAGGCTAATGGCTTAGGTGATTTTCTGCCCTGAGTGTGACTCAAAGCTCATGAAACTCTATGGGGATTTTGCAATTGATTTCTGTGGGGTTTTTTGATTGAGAGCTTATTTACTTTATTTGTAAAATAGCTTTTTGGAAGCCCAGTTACTCATTACAGGGAAAACCCTCGCAGAAAATTATTCACCAGAGCTATTTGTTCTGGGATTTTATTTAAAAAAAAAAAAAAAAGAAAGAAGATACAACAAACCATTCCCCCTTCAGCAGAAAGTCCTTTGCATTTTCTAACCATAAGTCCTTCTTTCATCTCTGAGCCTTTGATGATTCAATGAGTCATGAGGACACAATAGTGAAGAAGGAAATATTTGAGTACATTTCAAACACACTCAAACTTTGTGAGTTTAAAATGTACTTACAGACCTGAGGCTGGTCAAAATCTCCTGTGTTTTCTGCTACAGTTCTTTTGAATCATCCAGGCAGCACCCGAAGCATGTGAACCGCACACCTCTGAGCCCTGGCACCACCATAACATGGGCATAGTAGTACACGTGGAGGAAGTTCCTCTTCTACTGTCTGCAAAATGGCAGGTGAGCAACATCAACATCACTTTGGGCTCTAGCAAACCCACCACTCATTTTTGCTGAAACCACCAAGTTTTACTTAGCCTTGGAAATAAGCCTGATGTCAGACCAAACATATAGCTTACATTCACTAATAGGGACAAAGAAATGGAGTTAAGACAGATGTAAAACCATACATGAACAGAGTAGAAACAAGAAAATAGGCTTAATCATAAAATCCCTGAAACTGAAATTTGGTATGTATTTAGGTGATGAGTCATATTCAGGAAAAGCACATATGGTGTGGGGTTTTGTAGCAAAAATCTTGCTTAGATGATACTGTTGTCAGTAGTTTCCTATAACTAAGACCCCTGAAGGTTTCTTCATCCAACTGTAATTCACATCTTTAGATGCCCATGCTTTCTTTTCAAAACCACCCTTTAAATCTTGTCAGTGTTTTCCTAGTTGGAAATGAAATGGTAATTCAGCATGTCAAAATTTTCTCTGGTGTTGGTGAGAAAAGATATATTGTGAACTGGCAGATGCAATTGTCTTCAAAGAAGTAATGTAGAGTAATAGTCTGATGCTACTTTTCTATTATTATTTATCAAACTGTATTTAACTCCAAGAGCTGCCCTTAGGATTTGCATTGCTCCCAAATGGAAGCAGGCAGGAAGGCAGAGATTGTCGTGCAGTTCCAGCACATTAACTGATCACACAGCATAACTTATGTCAGCATGTAGACATAAAGCAGACGCAGCACAATCGCTCACTAATGTCATCAGAACAGCTAGGACATAAAAGGGATACAAATGGACAATTTAAAAACAAATATCTAATTGAGAATGGTTACAAATATTTCCCATGTGGCCTTGAGCCAAGAAACATGCAGTGAGAGGTAAAAAAAGGATGGGCTGAAGGGTGTGGTGTAGAAATTATCTAACTGGCAGGCTCCTGGCAAAAGGGATGGTATGTGGTTACCACCAGCCAGGTGGATGTCCCACGCTCGCCTGCCATATGGTACATAAAGCTAAACAAAGCTCTGCCTTAGAGGTCATTCAGTTGCTGTTCTGCAAATATTTGTTATTCAAAGCCCTGAACATCAAGAAAAGTGGTAGCTTGGTGCCCCTGAGGCCTTTCTCCTGAATCCCTGACAGGATTCAATGTGGCAACACATGCTGAGGCACATGGTGTTGTGGCACATGCCAGCATGCGATGCATCAGTCCTGACGCAGCCTGGGAGACACACTGAGTAACCATCCCTCCTCTTCCTCCCAGCTCATGCCTGCACTGGGGAGGTGTCAGTTTTCTCCTTATGATACTGGGACATCTGCTATTAGCAGACATCACATTTTTGCCCCTCAGAGCCCTGGTTTTGGGGGACATGATACATTGTGCAAAATATTTTGCCACTAACAGAGCAACTTTAGAATCTCCTTATCTGGAGTGGCAGTGGGGCCTGCACAGGTGTGTGTGTTGCTCCTTGGGGGACGTTCCATGTATGTGTGAACTTTTGACACAGCCCAGGGTCCTCTTTCTGCTTGGTGAGCTGGAAGAGTGCCATGCTTAGCTGGCTGATTTTGTATCCCAGGGCTGCACAGGCACAATTAGCTGACTGCTGCGGTATGCTTAAGTACAGATCACTGCATCCCAGACACTACTCATCTAGGTGACTTCACATAATACTTGCAATTACCTGTGATAACTTCCCAAATATGACACTGAGGCAGGCTGTTTGTTTTTAAAGAAGTCCCAGCTCTCAGAACATGGGGTCTTTCCATCCTGTGCAAAGACATTTAATAGAGATCAAGCCTCCAAGGACAAAAGGTCTTTGCTCCCTTGATCGTTTCCAAACTGAAATTCTCCCCTGTTAAATCTCCATGTTGCTTTTGCCAGACTGCTCAGAGGATATGGGCTGGCTGCTCTACCCAGGATCGGCTTCCAGAAAGGAAACATGGACATGACTGTGCCTGCTAGGCGCACAGCAGAGGTTTCCCTCTCCATACCTCTGCACAGCAGCAGCATGGGGATCCCTCTGCAATGTGATCTCCAGAGGAAGGCTTAGGGAGGACCTATGTGACGAAATTAGACAGCCCAGGTTATGGTAACCTCAATGTGAGACAGCCAAGGAGAGTTACTATGCCGACCTAAGCCTAGCAGCCTTAATAAATAAGTTCTGCATCTTCTGTAGAGTTGCCCATATTTACTGAAGCCAAGCCTTCATTTGCCATCATGAGGTACATGATCTTTTAGCACTCACTCACTGGAAGGATGAGGCAAACTTGCTCTGGCCTCTGCTGACACAAGAGAACTCTGTAGCTCAGGGGATGTGATTAATTTATAGGCATGTATTAGGAATGGTTCTGTATGCAAAGAGTTTGCAACTGGGCACAGCCACATAGAGCAGGAGAAGCTAAAGTAATCTTCTGACCCAGCACAACAATTCTTATTTTTCTCCAAAATGTGTAGATCTAGGAGCTCTGCAAAGATGTTCAGTTTCCAGGCACCTGAAATTACTTTTTTTTTCTTTAAATAAACACAAATTACGTTTGAATTCTTTCCCTTGCAAATGGACCATGGTGTGGCACTGAGGGAGATGCTGCCTCCTCTAGCACAGTAATGGGGCTTGTCCGATGGGGATACCTGCTTGCCTGAATTATTTAGAGTGACTTTGAACTGGCATTCACTTCTCTGATATCGCAGTTGTTATATAGATGTCACTCAAATTACCTCATGCTGAGATGTTTACTGATACCAGAAAATTCAATTAAAGAGGAAACTTGCAGAAGTACAGGAGGCAGTCAGACAACCAGCTCCAAATGGAAGTTCATGGAAACCTGCTGCCAAGCTGGTCTTTGTGGCTTCAAAATATGTTTGGGATTGGATTATCAAAGGAGCTGAGCACCTCTGCCACTTTTGCAGAAAAGTTCAGCAAATGGGACAATTCTCCAAAGAAATTTGGCATCCTGAGGGCAGCTCTGCTGCCTGAACTCATGACAGCATTTTTCCAAGGAGGTGTCAGCAGTAGCGTCTCATCAGAATATCTGAAGAGTGTGTTTTACTAATTGTCACTGTAGATACATAGAGATCTGTTTCTGTTTCACTGGAATTTGATATTTTGTGATTATGTTTGATAGTGACTGCAAGAGGAACTGAAGGAGAGAAAGCAAGGGAGGGAAGGGGGAAAGGAAAGAAAAGAAAGGGAAATGTGTCCAGTTGTGACAAGACAAGCTCTCCAGCAAATCTCACTACAAAGGAGAGAGACTTTGGAAGGATGAGTCTGAGCATTGCTGACAATTATTCTTTCCTCAATGATATTTCATTTCTTTCATTCCCAACTGAGTGCTGCCTTTATCTGCAGACTTAAAACCTCTCTTTCCCTTTCCTGTATTCCCTGCTCCCCTGGGAGATCCAGTAACTCATACAGTCCTCTGTCTCCTTCAGCCTATTCCCTCCAGCTACACCATGTAAGTGGGCTGGTGGCTACCAGCTCATTCTTAGGCTACTTCTCATTCCCCAGCTATCGTGTGATGTATTGCATACACGCTTATCCTCACACATGCACACATACATAGAGGAAGCATCTCTGACAGCTGGGTGCATCATCCAGATGTGTAAAAGTTATGTAGGGCAATGACCCAGCAGGTGGACACAGGGCAGTGTGTGTGTGTGGAGGAAGAGAAGGCAGTCGTGTGGGCTGGAAGCAGGACACTTGCAAAAGGCATAAAGGTTTCACAGGGGTTGGAGCTGGGGCTGCAAATCTGTGGGTAGTGATTAGGGTGCTTTTAAATGTGAAGTGTGTCTGTATTGACCTCAAAGATGGTCACAGTGTGCTGCTGAAGAAGGAAGACTTTGGCCATGGCTCTGGCATTGTCCCTCCACTCTGTTTTGGCTTGGCATGTTAACCCTGGTACTCATTGGCTGATCCTCTTGTCAGTGGAGCAGTAGCTGGGAGGGTGAGAGACAAAGAGAGGACACCCTTTGCATCCTTCCTCCTTCTCTAGAGGCACCACTGAAGTGAAGCTACAGGCCACATTCCTAAAGATTCAAACCCGTAAGAGACAATCAGCATAGATGCTGTTTACCTTTTCTCATCATGTCTGTAAGATGTAGAGCTCCGGCCACTGGTCCAAATAAACATTTTAGAGGATTGCCCAGTGTTGGCTTTGCTTGCTGCAGTGGGACGATGGAAGGACCTGGGGGAAGAGGGACAATTTTTGTCACTGCCCATCCAATGTGGCAGACCATATTACATCCAGTGTGCCAAATCCACTGTGGCTTGCTCAGTGAACCCTGAAGATGTACCTTTTCTTAACTCAAGGTGAGATGTAAAATAATGGGGATGACAGACCAGTGTGTGTGAACAAAGGACAAATCTCATTAGCCCCACTGGGAAAATGGGATGCTGGCTAATCAGGCTTAACTATGCTCCACACTGCAAAGGATTTCCACCATGGACCAGAAATATTTGGTAGTTTAAAAAAAGTAATAGCTGCATCCAGTGTTCTTATGGCAGTATTTTTGGGGGTCAATGTGGCTATTGTTTCAACACATACATGTTCATTGGAATTAATTGGTTGTACTGCAGTTCTCAATAAGGTGAGGTTCTCCAGGAAGGTGTCTGAATGAGGCACAAGTATGAGATGTAAATGCAGTATTCTTTGGGAATGTAACTGATGTGACAAAGATGTCTTTTCCCACAGAGAAATTGCTGTTCTGGGCCATTTGTCCAGACCAGTTAGATTTCTGCCCGGGGGTTTCTTTGTTTCACAGCAGCGTATGAGGGCTGCTACCTTCTCTCAGGCTCTTCTAGTGAGGCTACAGCTCCACTTGTAGCTCCTCCTAATCTGCTGCTGAGTTTAGTGAGGCTCAGCTAAAATCTCAGTCTCTGAGAACTGAACCCTTCCTGGCAGGGGCTGTATTTTGTATTACTTCATGGCACAGCACTTTGTGCTTTTACTGCATTCAGGGAAAAGAATAAGAAAAAAAAAAAAAAAAGGAAATATTCCAGATACCAAATACTTTAGTGCTGAAGTTTTTCCTACACTGGGTGCCATTCTTCATCTCACTGAAAACTAAACTTGACTGCTGATGCTGTCATCAGAGAAGGCACATCAATTCCCCAGTGCTCCTTGTCTGAAAAGTCTGTAATGTCACTAATCTACATAATCGTGCAAAGGGCTAATTTAAATATTTGAAAGTGGTGATCCTGGGAGGATATTTAAATCCTGTAGAGGTGGCTGGGGGGGGGAAGACTGACATGGATGGGAGCTAAAATCCATCTGTACACAGACAGGCTGGTGGGTGCCAAGGGACTGGGCTTCCCATCTAGAGTCAGCCCAGAGCCCCACCTTCAAGCAGACCCAGGTAAAACACCCCAGCTGGGCATCTGGCTGGGCAAACTGGCCAAGCTGGTCACCCTGTCACCTCCTCCTTGCTGGGATCCTGTTGCCATGCTCAGAGATGCTGGCCCAGGACTGGGACTTGCAGGTTGGGACCTTGCTTGAGGTAATATTTCACAAAACTTTTGTGCTTTCATGCACAGCCAACTGGACAAGAAAGAGGTCCAAAAAAAAAAGAGACGAAGAGGCAGGGAAATCTCCCTCAGCCCTTTCCCTCACTCCGTAGTCATCACTGCAGCTCTGAGAGCCAAAAAAGACTCTTTCCTTACAACTGCTCTAGTTAAGTATTGGGAAATAAACAAGATGAAGCTCTTCCTTCCTGAAATAACTATAGTTTAGAAGGTGAAATAGCATCTGTCAGGGTCTAATCAGTATAGCCACTGAGAAGTGTCTTATAGTGATAATGGCCAGAAATTTGTGTTGCAGGATCTTGGGTCTAATCCTTACTCTGGTATGTGAGATTGCACTCACTACCTCAGACAGCACAACAGGACCAACAAGCCTTCACTGAACGAGCTGGTTTTTCTGCACCGAGCAATGCAGAAGGGCTCAGAACAACTGCCTGAGGGCCTAGAGGCCACATCTGATACTGGACTGAGACCTGTCCCAGGCTGAGTCCTTTAATGCTGGAAAATAATATTACATATTTGCCACTGCACCCTTTAGGACTTCACACATGAGCTGCATGACAGGAAAGCCTGGCTGGCTGTGCTGCCACAGCTTGCGTGGTCCCAGAGCCATCAGGAGAGGGTGATGAATGCTATCAGAGAGTCTGTTCTTAATTAAGCAAAACTTGGGCACACATTAGAGGTGATCAGAAGCTTCTGCTGCTGTTTAAGTCTACAGGGGCACCTGGACAGGACTGCCTGGGCAGGGAGGTGGATTTCCAAGCTCCAGAGCAAATTGCAGGAGCACTGCTGGGGCAGTAGGTGGGTGAGAAGGGTCTGTCCCATGAGGGGATGCTGGAGTAGAAAAAAGGGGTATTTCTCTTCCCACCAAAGTTAGAGTGATTTCAGACCAGTGCCAGTGCCCTGAAGCAGTCCATATGTGACAGCATTAATGCTGCCAGCTTTATTAGTGGGGCAATCCAAGCTGTCACTATTTAACACATAATCTCACGTTCAATTCGGTGTAAAATGGTAATACTGATGACATTAACGCTGCCACTCCCGAGGTCAGATATAAATTACTAAAATCAGTGGTTTCTTTAGGTGGGGGTTAACTGTGAGGTAAGAGACTTTTGTGGAAGAGTAACAATACAAATTCCCCAAGACCCTTCTTCGAAGGCCGTTGGAGGACTTGTAACCTAGAACAGTTGGAACCTACATGACTGGGTATTGCCCCACCAGGTCAGTTAGCAAACTTCCATACCTTTCTTCTCTCCCAACTTAATCCCAAAGGAGGGCTTTGAAGCCGTTTCCTTCCCTGTCCCCTCTCTCATTTCTGAGAAAACAAGTAGAGCTACTTTTCTTTGTTTTGCCTGTTGCCTCTCTGAGTCAGCTGCTGGCAACTAATTTTCATCACCCAACAAGTAATCAGCCTATGAAACAAACTTATGCAGGATGTCAGCCTAGCATTTAGAGTGAAAGTGGATTGTGCCATTGCTAGAGCACCTAAAGTCATGACAATACCTGTTAAATCAGTTTAGAAGAAGTGCTTCAAGCTGCTTTTTGACTCTCAGGAGTCTGTGGGTGTTATTCCCATAGGGCAGGTTACCAGGAAACTGCTGTACTTGATGTGACTTTTGCTAACGTCAGCATGCTGTGTTGATCTCCGGGCTTCCTGCTTAACTTTGCCTGAACAATCCTGTCTCCTTCATTATTTACCCAGTGTGGCATCAACACCATTGTCTCTTGGTGTGATTTCCACAGAGACAGGCGAGGAGACCTGCCTTTGGTTTTTACAAAACATGCCTTATTCTTTGCATTTGCATCTACCCCGAATAAATGCACAATGTTTAAGAGAGAAATGCTAAGTAAAAAGTGATGACACTCTCCTATGTATGCCTATACCTAGGGCACTTCATTGTTCCATACTGGCTGAGAAGCAGCTTTAAGGGCCCACAATGTTAATACAGTGGGTCTACCCAGGTCTGACACACTCCTCCTATCTTCCCCCATTCTCATCCTCCTCTTGAACATTATGTTCTGGTGAATTTTAAGTAACTCACTGGAAAACCTGACAAGGCTTCCACTTTTCCAACCATTGCAAAATGAAGACTTGAGATAGCTCCTGTAAAATTAGAACTACCTTGCCCTGTCCAAAAGAATGTCAACACGTCCACCCAACAACTGCCTGAGAGAAGAATGCAGTGTGAAGAAAACGTGATGGGGTGACATTTGCTTAGAGTTTGAGGCTGAATCTTAAAATCCCTTAGTTGGTACCCTGAGAGGTATATTATGTGCTTTGTTGTCCCTACTTTCACTCTGGGCTGGCTGCTTTCCTTCCTCAGGCGTATGTCATGACTGGTATTAAATGTCCCTGACCTCTAGGTTACCACATCTGTGAACAGCCAAAGACATTGCAGACCATGTTTTTAGATGGATAGTTGGGTTTTATATGTGTATTTATTTGTAGTTGTCTCTATCTATGTTTATGTTAATCATAGGGGTTTTGAGACCTAGGAGAATCATTTATGGCACTAAACTAATGAGCTTTGCTCCCCTTATGGCATTTCTTTTCATGGGCAAAGTGGTCACTGTAGAAAGGGAAGCATTTGCATTAATTTTGCATTATAAAAGGCAACCTGAGTCATCAAAACAGGAGCTAAACAATTACCTAAAGATATGATCACGGACCTCTTAAGCTTTGTCTGAACACACACACATACACACATCCTACATTGTCCATGCTGTCAAGTGCTCTGGATGTCTGATCCCTGTATTCCTCAGCTAGAGGATTCATCTGAACCCTGTGGCAGTTCCCTGTGAGCCCTGAAGTTTTTCTGCTAGCCCACATGTTAACCTGTCCCTATACCACAATGCAATGGTCAGTGCCAAGTTCCTCTACAGACAGGACATCTACTATTGGGTGATAGGAGATATTTGGTCTTTCTCATGGCCAGCGAGATACTTTTTTTGGAAAAATTTCCACCTATGGGAAAAGGAAGAGGCTGAAACCAGGCATCAAATACAACTTGCAAGGGGACAGTGGTTAACTTTAAAGTGAATTTACTGAATATAAACAGTTATGTCCTGATAGTCTTACCCACACCTATGTCTCATGATAGTATGTTTTCCTATGACTTTGCTGAGCTGGAAAACAGGGAGAAATATTGTGTCATGAAGAATGGAAGAATAAATAAAATGGCCTGTTGAAGTATAGCCTGACTGCTGTGTAGTCTGGCTTTTGGATGCATGGAATATTTCTGCAGGCAGAGTGGTGGAGGTAACTGCTGTATTAAGATGCTCCTGTCTGATTCAGGAGATGATCCAGGGTAGTTTTCTAGTCCTGGTATTGAAAGAATGTAAGAGCTGGACCCGTTCCTGAAATGTCTGAAATGTCTGACTCAAAAGAATGGTCCATGACAACATGCAGGGGTGGATGGAAGCAGAGCTACACCAGGGAGAGTGTGAGGAGAAACCTGGGGTATCTGGATGAGACCCACTGTGACTGTGGCTGTGGTGTGACACAAAAACCCCAGTACACATATACCAAGGGAGGTCTCACAAGCTAGCACTGAAACAAGAAACCAGGTGAACATCTAGCTGGCAATTCCCCTGTTCTGGCACAATTCAGAGGGCAGTGGTTTTTGTGTAGTCAAAATACCTGTTTTCTCTGCAGGTCTCTGTCTGAGCACAGTACCTGCTTGCACCAATCCCAGTTGTGTGGCCGTAAGAGAAGAACAGGAAGCATAGACCAAGAAAAACAGCAAAAACATAACTCATAAAAGAAATGCATCTGCATCAGTAGAAGAAAGTCACCACTTAGGGATCATTTAATGCTCTGGCAGCAGCAACACTAAACTGTGAAGCAGCAACAGCAATATCAAATGGTGCATTTCTGCCTCGTGACCAGACTTTGCTGTACCGCAAGCTAATGGACATGTTGCAGGAGAGAGTGACATAAATAACTGTTTTCATTGGAGCATCTCAGGAGCTCTGGCTGTACTAACTGACTAATCCAACTAGCAGATGACCTTGAATTTGGGGTTCCTTATTATGGCAAGGGGAAAATGGACAGTGGGCAGCTGGTGTTAATGTACTGACAAGAGTTTAGGAAGACTGAGGCTAATGATGCTTCATTAATGAATTCACCTCTATTTCTAGCCTTTCTCCTAAATCTCCCCAGAGCTCAGGGCTGAGCTCTCCACCTAGTTTTCTAGTTGAATGACAGAGATATACAGGCAGTCTGGCTGGGATCCCATGGCACAGACATGTCTAGGACACTCCATGTCCAAAGGAGGAGGAGAACAGGGCTGCCAGGGACAGCTGAAGCCTTTATATGGGGATGCAGCTTAGCTGTGTGTGGAATACAGTAGCATTTGTGTTTGTTTTCAAAGGCAAGATTTCATTTAACTTGAAGTTATCCTTTACAATTGTTACTTCCCTCTCCCAGTATATACAGGAGTAAGAGAGAGATTCAGACAGGCTGAGATATCTATACCTCTTTGCCACGTGACAAATCACAGTATATTTACACTTCAAAAATAAATATTCCAAAGTAACCTCTAAATCTTCCAGGTTTCCATTTCCTCATGTTTTTTCTTGAGTGCTGTCTTTCTGCATTTTCAAAAAACTTTCAAGCCTTGCCTTTTAATGATGGTTTTCATCCCTAGGCTGCTTTCTTAAGCTCTTTCCCAAGACCTACCTTCCTAATGCTAGTCTAAGTAGCCCACACAGCACGGCTGTAGACTTTATAGTCTTTACTCTTCCTGATCTTTCTGACTTCAACTTCCTTCTCCACTTTTTCTTTCCTTTCTTTTTCTTTCCCCTCAGGGCCTCTTCCTATACATTGCTGTCCCCAAGATGACTTGTTTCACTTGCCTTGGCTGCACTGCGTTAGGCTGAATTATTCTGATTAGTTTACTGAAGAAATTCCTGTGTCCCGAGATCAGGTAAAAAGGAGTGAGCTACTATCTGTCATCACAAGCAAAAGAGTCCAAACTTTTCTTCTTCTGGCCACCTTGGAACACTGATGCTATGAACTCAGCTTCCTCATCTGGGATGTAGTACAAGTGATGTGCTAGTTCCATCACTGTACCTGACAGAAGATACTTTCAGGCTATCTCCAGGTAGCAGAGCATCTAATGAAGAGCCAGCCCTTATTACCGTCCTCATGTTTTGGTGGTGATGAGTTTACAATCCAAGCACGAGGCAATGCCTCTCTTGGCACATTGCAGTCACTGGGGATCAGCATTTGTGAGGAACAGCTGAGGATAATTGTCCCCTTTGCCTATCAGGACTCTGCAAACATTTTTAGCTTTCTGTGCTGCATTTGAATTTACGTAGCAAGTGACACACTGGACAAGCACTATATTCATCATCTCAGCTGCTCTCTGCATTCAGAGAAGGGCACAATCTGCCTGTGAAATGGTGTGGCTTTGGGAGAGGGCGCAGCAGTGGCAAGAGGTGGGTCATACCCCCAGTTGATCCAAGAGAGTTTTATGGGGAGATCTGCTCTGCCAAAGACCATGTGTTACACTGATGAGGAAGGATCCTGGGAAGGAGAATGAAGGCAGGCAAAGTGCTGCACTACCTCATTTCTTGCAATCCTTTACATTTTAGCAGAATCCTCTGTAACTGCAGAAGGATATATCACTTTGGGTGCTGCACCACACCAGAAGAGCTATATGGCCCTGGACCAGGCTGCCTGGCAGTGAAGATGCTTTGTGTTTTGCTGTCAAGCCATGACAAGCCTAGTGGGAAATGGAGAAAGGCTGATAGAAAGGAGTTGGAGGCTTACTGTTGCATTGCTCCTTCACTCCCAGGGCTGGGAGGTGTTTCCAGCTCTAGCTCCACACTGGAGGCAGCCTCTCATCATGAAAGGGAGAATGACCTCTTTCTCAGTTGAGATTTTGTGGGTATCTACTTGACCAGAACTTAGATGAGGCTCTTTTGGATACCAGAAAGACAATTTTTGAGACTAATCAGTTGCGCAGTTGAGCTGGACACTTCCAACTGTGCTGAACTGAAGCGGCTTCTGACTTGACTCATGTCCCTCCACCACTATTACCTCAGAACCTGGGATTTACATACCCAAACTGTGATGCAACAGGATGTTGGCACTACCAATTTACAGGCAGTGAACAGAGGCACAGAGGCTGCTGAGACTTATCCGAAGTCTGCGGTGGATGTAGTGAAGAAAATAGCCTAAAAGATAGTGGACAGCCACCTTCCACCCAGTGTGGAGGGAGGAGAGATTTCCTTATCAGAGAGCAAAGGCAGAGCCTTGCTTTGAGGAAGTGCCATGGGAACATCCGCTCTGGCTCCAGCTTTGTGCAGCTTTGCCTCAGCTTTACACCCTTCCAGAGAAGACCTGATCTGAGAAGTACAGCTTTTAAATATCCCTGAAGAGAGTGTTTCTTTTCAGGAAAGTAGTGCTAAAACCCTGATGGTGTGCTTCCAAGGGGGAGCTGAGGGAGAAGAAGGGTGAGACATTGCTGGGGACAGGGTGGGTACTAGCAGCCCTTAGGGAAACCATGAAGGAGAAACAGATCACACGAATGATGCAGCTCGGGAGAGAGGTGAGGGCAGAGAAAGATAAACAGACTCAAAGCAGCACCCATAGGAAAAGCACAAGCAGGCAGGGCAGATACAGCAGGAGTGTTTTTTCTGCCGCCTAATTCCTTGAGCAGGTCAATCATCTTTTATCTCCTTTGAGTCAGTCCCTGTGCCATTTAGAGCACCAGCCGGAACAAAGCAAAAGCAGAGGCGAGCTAAAACTACTACCCAGCGGGAAGTGAATGCACTGGCACTATTTATTTTTGAGTCTGCATTTGGATTAGCTGTAAAGAGCTGTGTGGATAAGCAAGCAGGCAATTACAGCTGGGACATGCTGCTTATGAATGGAAACAGCTCCAATCTGCTCAGGACATATTGAAATTCTAATTCAGTTAGATTCCTTTAGTTACAGTGTTCATCACAGACACTAAAAGAGATGGGATTAAAAAATAAATACAACTCTTATGTTGCCTTTGGTCTGCTTTCTCCGCTCCCCTTTTCTCCCTCCCCTCCCTAGCTTTAGCTGTTGTTTGGCTTTATTTTCTGTGGAAAAGACTGCAGTCTTCATCTTGTCTCTTTGTTAATTTTTACAAAGATCTAACAGACTGCAGCTGGCCAAATGCATGCACTGCTGATGGGTGGGCAGTCAGCGTGAGTGCTAGACTGCTGTTGAGGTTTCACATATCACATCTTACTAAGGACCATTATGCAGAGATATCCGTCAATACTGCAAAAGTACAGGTGAGACACAGAGGCACAGAGCAAGGAGGTGATTTGCTTTTTACTGGCTTCAGCCCTGATCCAGACTGGTGCTCAAGTCCACCAGCCCACACTGCTCTCCCAGTAAGTAGGTTGGCTTTGGGTATTGGTATAAAGCTACTTCGCCATTTCAGGCAACCACTTTTGCACTGGGTTTGTGCAGGTAAGTTAGTAAAAGATTGGATCCAAAACAGTGGCCAAGGAAGAAGACCAGGAGTTCTGCATCAGCCCTGCCAGTATGACCTGGAAATTCAAGCGATTTAACTATGTGTTGGTTGAGTTTCCCTGGCTGCCAGTCAGTGATGTAGTAAATATGCTGGTATATGCAAGGAACAGTTAGTTGAGATCTAAATTTCTGAGATTGCCAGGTTGGGGAAATTAGAGGAGTGTGAGCTTGGGTCTCCATCTACCTGGCTGTCATACTTCCCTCATGACTGGTTCTTTGGACCTGGTGGGGAACCTCTGAATGCAAAGGGATGTCTACAGACAGGTTGTGAATAGTTCTGACCTCTTCAGCTTGGAAACCTGCTTATAACAGACACTGGATAGAAATTACTTGTCTCCCTTGAAACTAAGAAAAGTTCTTGATGGGGAAAGGCAGATATAATACCTTCATACTACTGATACTGAGGTATGGAACTGTGAAGTAAGCACCTCTGTAGTAAAAGCAAACATCCAGCTTAGATTTCATGAGCCTCTTTCCTTTTTGTCTTATAGCAAAAGGGTACATTCTGCAGCATAAACACTCTGTGGTGGCTCCATATCCTTTCAGGACACAGACTTCATCACCAGGAGCCCTCTTTGTTAAATATGATGAACTGATGCGTCAAATTCACAAAACAGGATTTCATGCCCCCCCGGAGACTTCTTCTCCTGCATACATTTCATGTAATTTTCACACAACTGAAGATTTCAAGTGTCCTTATTTTTTAAATTTTATTTTTGTAGAGTCAGGCACCTGTTAGCTTTTGAGTCTAAGTTGCGCTCAATATGGCTGCATGTCCACGGACTGTTGAACTCATGAAGATGCTCTCTGGAGCTCCTTGTTTGCTTTGCCTACTGGTAGGGATTTCCAAGGCACAGAATATTAGGGACAGAAACATACTGCGTGACTAAACAGAAAAGTGCAAAATTCTAATTCCTACAGGGAAGGTGCATGTCCCAGAGGACAATTTTTAGCTTAAAGAGCTAAAGGAAGTGTTTCTAATGAATACATTCATAGTTAGGACACAGATCAGAACCAGCCTGATAGACAAGACTGGGAGAAAGTTAGAAATTAAGTGTGTTACATTAAGGCAGGGTATTAGAAAGACAGGGAACATAATATAAAAGAAAATATGGATATGCACACACACGAGAGAGTAGGAGTGGCTGCATACTGCAGAAAGGTAGTAATGAAATCTACAGAAGTGGTGGTATGAAGTGGATGGGAAAACTGGCAGAGTCAGTGAGTCAAATGACTACTGAGATGAGAATGATGAGCCAGGCTTAGTACAGTGCTGCACCAACCTATTAGGTCACAAATCAGTGTAAGTACTAAATCACGTGCATTGTGGTTGAATTCAGTTCATGATATACTGGATGGTACAGATAGAGATTTAACCTCCTTAAGAAAACAGTAACTTGAGAACTTGAGGCTCTCTGTATAGATGTGTTCTTGTAATATACTTTTTAGCTTAAAACCAACTTTTGAGGGTCAGGAAAAAAGTGAAAAGAACAGAAGCAGTCTCTCTAAGAGAGAGCAGTGTACATATTCCCTCTACACAGTTTTGAACCAACAAAGATAAAAAAATCTTGGCAGTCCTCTGAAGCCAGTGGAGCATTCTGAACAGTGAAGCGGCCATGCCTATGAAACAAAACCCCAATGTATTTTGGTCTCATAGTTGGTCTACAAATGAAAATGAGGGTAGGAGCAGACACAGATGCTTCCACTCCTCATACGGCAACAAACTATATTAATTACAGCAATAGTCCAGCTTCGAAAAATGTTAACTGCAGTGCTATTACTGTTGAAGAGTATTGAGTTTCCAAAGAAGTGAATGTCTTTTTCTCTCCCTAATCATGATTACTTGGCTTAGTACTTGGGCTAAGCTTTTATTTAACCAAGATAAATGGATATTTCCAAAACCAACGAGTTAATACTATGCACATTATTACTCTCTTCTCAGATTTCTTGCCTTATGTGTTTTTTTACTTGGCTGCTAAACACAAATAACAATAAGAATAGGAAGGAGGAGCTGTGCAGGATGCCATATGGATTAAAGATCAAAGAAATAAATAAGTCTGCTTTTGACCCATTACTTCATCCTATTCTGTGCTAACATTTCCCCTCAATCAATATCACATAACAACATTATTTTGTCCTATAATTTCCCTTTCCTGAAACATGAGCGCCCACACCACATTTTTGCAGACACCACCAGCCTACCTAATTTTTTTTTGCTTTCTGTTTGGAATCCCTATTTATCATTTAAGCTTATGTGCCAATACTGTAGTTTAACATTCAGAAGAGCAGATGGGGAATTAGAGACAAAACTTCTGTCAGTGATAATAGGACTTCCACA